ACACAAATATAAATATAAACACAAATATAAATTTAATTTACTTTAATTTTCTATTGAAATTTACAGACGCATTTGATCTGCACAGTGCCGCCATATCTGCATCAGAATATACTAAAGCCGGTCAGCGTCCAGGTGTCCATTATATCGAGCGGCAAGAAGAGCGAGCCCCACACCTTCACCTATACGCCCAAGGGCAGCTATACGACTTTGGCGGCGGCCAGCACGTTAAGTAGCACAATGCATAGCCAAGGTATTTATTTGTTGACTATTTCTATATAAATCAGCAGACCCCTGCAGGCATCATGAACCATATACAAATTAAGCGCGTTTCAAACATGAGCACACACGCATATATATATACACACACACACACATACATACACACACACACACACACTCAGACACTTAAATGACAATTGAAAAACTAATCCGTCGTCGTCAGGCAGTCGTCGCAGGCAGGCCAGATAAATGCACTAACGCTAGTCTATCAAATGAATAAGAAATACATGCATACCTACATAGATATATGCATACATACATATGTACATACACGTACCTATCATCGAAACTTATGTATGTATGTATCGAATTCATATCTATTAGTTAACTCGTTTAACTTGAATATAAAAACAAATGAAAAACCAAGCCAAAAAACACTGAAAATTCTGCAAAGTTGCAAACACAAAACTTAATTAGTTAGTTTAGCTAATTAGTAGTAGAGTTATAAAATCATAAATCGATAATTTTTAAATAATAATATACATAATTTTAAAATGCAATAATTCGAATCCCTTTTCAAACATTTAAAGATCTCATGCGTTATTCTRTAGGCGAGTTTTATTTCTTCTGATTGTTGAAACTTTCAATTTAGAAATAAAATATTAAAAAAAAAAAAAATCAAAATACAATTGGACAACAGATTTTATTTATTTGAGTTCAATTTTATTTGAAATTCTATTAATGAGAACAAGCCGGGCGTAACCGACTGTAGAATACTCATTCATGGCCCAAGTACAGACAGAAATAAAACATAAATAAAATCGGTAAATATACACATTTGCCACGCCTCCAACGAGGCGCCCTAATAGCGGATAGCAACAGTAGTTAAATTTTGAGCTCCTTCCCGATTTAGTTTCCCTTTAATGAATGAGTAAAAATACCAAATGCAGAAAGGTTTAAATAAAAAAAAAAAATCGAAATTCTATAAATTATGAATCATATGAATCTATGTTTGAAATTTGGAGACACTATCTCTAAAGATGTAGGAGATGTAATTTCATAATAGAGTTTTTTATCGTTACCTATCGACTTTTTGAAACAAACATTTACACCCAGTTTAGCAGCTGTTTCACTCATTATCAAATCATCATGGTTGCATGAATCAAAACATGTTTCTTCCTAAAAAAAAATGCCAAAATATTTATAAAGTAAATAAACCAAAATCCATTTGCAATCCACACTAAGAAAGAATATGATTTTATCATTCAGAGCATTTCAAATTTTGTTGCTTGCCTCGCACTGTGACATTTTAAATTTAAGCAAAGGGCCAGAATAACGCATGAAAACTGATAACACAATATGAGATCAGATAATAATAATTATAATATATATAAGTAGGAAAAATCTGCGCAAAAGCAAAATCAATCTAGAAATAAAACAAGAGATCTATAAAATTAAGGTAAATACTATACGTAAAACTTTTAGGGTACAAACTCGTAATATATATCGGAAGTTAAATAGCAATTATTTAATTTATGATCAATCAATCAATCAATTAATCCGGCATAAACTAAACCAAAAGAAGAAGAAAATAATTCTGCGACGCTGAAGAAACAATACTAGGATGCTTTCAAGATGGAGAGTTAACAATTGCGAGAATTCGGCTTTACTCTATCTCTCTCTTATACTCACTCTCTCTCGATCTCTCTCTCTGTCTGCAATCTATCTATCTCTTTTACTCCCATTCGATTTCTTACTGAATGAAGCCAAGAAGGAAATATGATTGAAACAACTCTGTTGAGTGAATGTGTGTTACAAGTTGATGTTGTCGAATTGAGATACCCTGTAAATGGCATACACTTTAACTGGAAGTGTTGGACTTGCAGTTTACTTGAGTCTTACTTTTGGGAATTTTTATTTTATCGATAACTTATATGTGCGTGAGACAGGCCGGGAGAGAGAGGCTTTGCATGTATGAGTGTGTGTGTGTGTGTGGAATACAGAGTTTTTTTGATCACGTTTCTGCCGCAAAGTGTCCAGCGCCTGCAGCTAACGAAGCATCAACCGATAAACGATACCCGATACCCGATAACCGATACCCGATTACAAGCAAATTAAAGAAGATATGCAGATAAAGAGATAATAATTAACAGAAAATGAAGAAGAAGAGGAAACTTAAATATAAATGATAAAAAAAGGAGAAGAAGGCAGCCATTCGTTTAATTTCTTGTTCAGGGAAATCTGGCAGAAACCTTATCGCAACACTAATTACAACCAATCCAACCAAAAAAAATAATAAAAATTATAAAAAACCACATAAAA